CACATTTAAATGAGTGGGGCCTTGACTCCCTGCTGATGTACAGCATCAATGCTCTGGCCTCTTCTCACCAGCGCAGAAGGCTCATTTAGTGGTTTATCCGTCATCTTTGCAAAACTGCAAAATCCCAATCCCAGGAGCTCAGCTCATCGCTTGGTTTTTCCCAGGTCGATAACTTGACTCCCCTGGGGCTGACTGGCTGGGGAGAGGTAGAAGTCTTTCAGTGGAGACATTAAAAGCCTAGTGTCTTACCTGCTCTGTGTGGAAGTCAAAGGTCTCCGGATGCTTTTCGTAACAGAGTTTGGGGGTCCTTGGCCCTCTGCTGTTTGTGTGGGGTACTGTATGCAGGTTGGGTAGTGGGTAGGTGTCAGTGGCAGAAGATGCTATGGAAACACACAATACTAACATCTTCATTCCAGGTAGATGGAACCAGGACGAAAATGTGCCGTACAAACGCCAAAGGGAACTAAAACCTTCCCCCTCTCCAGAAGGTCCTGGAATTATTAGCCTCATATTACAGCTGGAAAATCTCTGAGGCAGAGAGCGGAACTGACTTGCCCAAGGACATGCAGCGTGTCCGTGGCAGAGCCAGGAATAAAACATAGATCTCCTGCCTCCCAGCTGCCTTCTCTAACCCAGTAGATCACATTCCTTGACATGTTGCATGACTTCAGCACCCTGGGAATTTCTAGGGGCGCTGTAGCTTTTTGGTGTAGTGTTTGTCAGGTTATGTGGCTCAGGCCTGCAGAGATGTTTATTCCCTATGCCCTTCTGCTCCCTGCCCATGCCATATGACCTATACCTGCTATCTTGGGGGCCCCAACTGTGGGAATGAGTGGATCCTTTTATTTGTACATTTTCCTATTGCTTCTTGTCCTCCCTCCTGGGCTATGAATGGAGCTAGATTTCTCCCTTTTCTTAAGACCAATTTTCAAAATGTCACTTTGGTACAAAATGCCATGCAGAGCTAGAGATTGGAGCCCTTTATTTATCCCCACTGTGTGGGGAGCAGTGGCGGTAGCAGAAGTGTAATCTGCCCATTTATACCTCTCCTTGTTTTTCTGGCAGTATGCCTCACCCCTGTGATCTGCAGGGCCCACCTCCTAAGGGTGAGAGGGGGAATACAGTTCACTTATGCTTTGGTCTTGCTCTGCTGAGAGTACAAATAAAGATGACACTTGTGGACACCTGGAACTGGACTGACACACAGAAACTCATTTCAGAGAGGCCAGCCAAGACCCCAGTTCAAACTAGTGGCCTAGGCGAACTCCTCAAAGATATTTAGGCTCCAAATTTCAATGGAAGTTAGGAGCATAAATCCCATTGAGATCTAGAGTCAAACTCCACAGTCCTTTCACTGAGCAACATTTCCATTTATTTTCTGACATCGCCACTAGAGTTTAAATCCTCCGTAGCCGGTTACAAATCCCCATGTGATGAGCAGTAAATGTTACGCTGATCAAATTTCCCAGCTTCTCCCGATCACTGTTTCATTCTGGACCACCAACTTCCTGTACAGCTCTCTGCTGAAATTAACCCATTCCAAGGCCAGCAGCCAAGGAAAGCAAGACAAACAGCTAACAAAGTAGTGTGATCACTTGGTGCTGTCAAGGGAAATGAATGTGTTATTTTTCGACCCAGGTGGGATAATTTCTGGCTTAGAAATTCCTAAAGTGTCTATCTCAACAAATACGACTTATGGCCCCTTGGTGTTGTCTTTCTTCAAAGCAGGCTGTGTGAAGTAGAGTTTTTGGGTGTAGGGCATATGCCAGCATGGAGACACAGACTCATACCAGAATGGGAGAACAGAGTCATTTTTCAAGAAAATGAGTTTCTGAATGTCTAGCTTGTTAAGACTGGTTTTGTTTTTCTCTTGGCTTGATTTTTAAATCAGTGCTGTTAATATATATTAAAACTCAAAGCCTTTGGGTTATTACCAACACCTTCGATTATGATGAAACTGAATTTTTTTATCTAATTTATTTTTTAGCATTGATCTGTTTTACTTTTTGCTTTTACTCTGCTGACTCGATGAAATTAGTCTGATCAGTTTCACATTCTGGTTCTTGTTTGTTAGCTCAGGGCTCAGGTGTCATGATACAGAAAAAAAGTTTAAATTAAAAAATATATCCTTTAGTCCTGTTTGACACAAAAGCATTCATATTGGTGTTCTGTAATCCCCCACCACCACCACCACCACCACCACACACACACTTATCTGTAAAGCCAAAAGTTGTCCTACATAAGGCTAACAGTGTCCCTTTAAGTGATATTTATTGCTGCATGTCTTTTGTCTGCTCAGATCTTTGAAAAAGATTTTAACTTCAATGGTTTTGACAGAGATGAAAAAAAGCAAGGTAGTAAGTGTGGTGCATTAAGGTAAGACTATGGAGAGCAGCAAAAAAACAAAACAAAACCCCACACCAATCAAAAATGCTTCCTTGAATGTCTTGGTGGGATACATGTCCCGGAATATCATACTGTTCAGTCACTGTTTGCAGATGCCAAAGTGGGATGGAGCCATGTATCACATGAGAGAACGTGTACTGATCTGTGTGGGACGTGGGGCACTGACCCTAACTGGCAGCATCAATAGCTGTTTGCTGTGAGCACCTCCTGATGTTTATAATTGCTTGAGTGCTGCCAAATGCCGGAAGCAAAACTCAGCTGGTGCCTCCCATTCCAGGTATATCAGTTGTTTGCTGGAACAAAGGCTGGCACTCCAAAGGGATGCAGCGGTAAGGGAGTTAATCATTCATTACAGCTAACAGTGTGCAGAGGGAGGACAGAGAGATCAGTGGAAGAAATGGGCTTTAAGGAGGGATTTGAGGTACAGGGAAAGCACTTGGCACAGGGGCGTAGGGATGCTGGTCCAAGCACAGGAGGCGGGTGGAAAGAGATGAAGGGACAAAGAGGAATGGGAGGAAATGGAAGTGGGATGAAGGTTAAAGGCTTCGTGTGACTTGCATGTTTCCTGATGTTTGGATTTGTTGAAGTAACAGTCCTAAAGCTGATCTACAAATGTGTCCAGGACACAAGCTGGAGGTGGAAGGGGCCTCTGCTTGTAGAGTTTGGCTATAGATAATTTTAAAACATCATCCATGGTTTATTACATTTATACATGCTAGCTGTGTTTGTGTGTTTCCCCCGTTGTTACTCCATGCATTAAGTCCTCTGCTAGGTTTGAGCTGCGGTGTGGTCTTACTAATGGAGCACCAAGTAAATTTCCTAGCACAGAAAAGCCTAAAGAGTTAATAACAGGGATGCAAAAAATCGCAGTGCAGTGCAGACCCGTTTATCTGCAATGTGTTGGGTGATACCAGAAAATCTTGGTGGAGGTGCGTTGCAGGAGAGACAGAATTCACATGGGGGTTAGGAAGTTGAAATTAATGTAGGGCCACCTTGGGCCCCAAATCCTGTAGTCAGATCCTTGTGCTTGAGGGGGAATCCCACTGACTTCAGTGGTACTTCATGCAGGAAGAAGGGTCTGCTGGCATGGGTTGGATCACAGGAGCAAGGTCTTGGAGAATATTTCAGATCACGGAAGGGTGGTGGAGTCATCTCAGTTTTGGGTCTCAAACATAGATGTCAAAGCTTTCTTTTCATAAACCTGAGCCCAGTGGAAATGTTCTCATTAAAATCAATTAATATATTAATTTTTGTCTTCAAACAAGTCAGATTTCCCCTCTAGTGTTTGTTACCTAACCCTTCCAGCATCAAGAGTTCAGGGGACCAAGGGGAGGTGAACATGAACAACTGACTTTGTAGGTGATTTACCATCCAGGAGGAGAAATACAAAAAGCATCTGCATTTTATTTTCACTCTGCACTGAGAGGACATAACTGCATTTGTTACAAGGGCACTTTGGAGGAGAGGGAGCTGAGTGAGGGGGAACACTAGAGTTTAAATTCTATGGGGCAGGGGCTGGGTTTTGTTACATGTGCACAGTGGGGGCCTGACTCCTGACATGGGCTCTGCTGGGCACTAACAATTCCTGGATGAGAGATTCACACCAACGGGAGCGGGGATAGATCTGAAAGTGGGGTAAAAGTGTATTTTGTATTAAACCCAATCGGACACTCTGGGACCTGGATACTAAGTGGGGTTAACTGGGAATTTGGTGAGAGATGGATGTGACCTTGACAGTGTTTTGGTTTGGACAAGGGCCCTGCCCAGGGATGGGACTATGTAGATAACAGGCACATTCAGGTCATTAGGGTCGCTCTTCTCCCTTAGCAAGAGCGGTTTGTCCTTGGTGGAGCAGATGGGCAGGTGTTCTGGCTCAGTGTGACTTCCTGCTGATCTGAACCAGTGTGTGTCGGGGGTGAGGGGGGAGGCAAATTCCAGTGAAGGCAGGATGGGTGTTGGCTGGGGTAACTCTGGGCTTTGAGGGGTGTCACAGAAAGTGGCCATGAGCTGAGGGAGGCAGGAAGGTTACCTCATTACCCCTGCCCCTCCTTCATGACGATGGCTAAGCTGGGGTTGGGGGAAGTGGGTGTTGGTTGGGTACTGGGGGGTTGAGCTAGGCTGCATAATATGGGATGAGGGAGGGTGGGGGGGTGTCAGATAACCCCAATGGTAGGGGAAAGCGAGGTGGGGGTGCTGGGATAATGGGAGGGTCAGGTAACCCTGTGGGGAGGGTAGGGGGAGGTGGGAGTGCTGGGATAATTGGGGGGTCAGGTAACCCTGCTGGAGGGGTGGGGGGTGCTGGGATAGTGGGGGGTCAGGTAACCCTACTGGGAGGGGAAGGGGAGGTGGGGGTGCTGGGATTATGGGGGTCAGGTAACCCCGCTGGAAGGGGAGGAAGCGGTGGAGAGATGAAGGGGTGGCCAGGTAACCCCGAGGGGAGGGCAGGTGGGGGGCTGCGCTGGCTCAGCGGGGGAACGGGAGCAGGCACGTGCCTAGCGGACTCCTTGGCCGGTGGCGGAAGGAGCCGAGCGCTGGGAGTGGCGCGACGCGGCCTATAAATAGCGTGAGGTGGCGCGGCGGCCCCGACAGCCGGAGCTGGCGGAGCGCGGAGCTCGCCGGGCCTGCAGCAGGAGGCAGTGGTGGCCTGACACGACCCCCGCCCAGCGCCGGGCATCGGCGGCGACAGCCCGGGGGGCCGGGCCACCCCTTCCCCTGCAGCCCGCCGGATGCTGCCGGGCTCGGGGCCGGGGGGCCACGGGCTCGGCGGGCATGAGGAGCAGCCGCAGCAGGGAACAGTGACGTCCCCGGTGCTCTCCCCCTGAGGGGGCTGAACCCCCCCGCCTGGAGCTCACCCCCCCCCCCGGAGGCTGAGCCCCTCCTCTACCCAGAATCCTTAACTCTCCCCATGACAGAAAGCGCCCGTCGCCTTGGAGACGCCCGCCCGCAGCCCCCCACCCGCCAGGCCCGGGGGGGTCTGCGCCGCCCCTAGCAGCATGACAGCAGCTGCCCCCGCCCCCGGGGGCAGCCAGGGCAGAGACCGCCTGCCGCCCCGCCGGGGGCTGCCGTGAGCGGAGCGCTCGCCCGCCGTGCCCCCGCGGGACGAGGATGGAGGTGGTGGGGGACTTTGAGTACAGCAAGAAGGACCTGATCGGGCACGGAGCCTTCGCCGTGGTCTTCAAAGGCCGCCACCGCAAGGTAACCGGAGCTGCGCCGTGTCCCCAGCCGCTCCCTGGCTGGTTACACAACCGCTTCCCTGCCGGCCCCCCGGGGATGGGCTGTGCCCCCTGCGGGCCGGGGCCGGGCCGCTCCCGAGAGCCGCAGGCAGCGAGGGGAGAAGTCGCTGCTCCGGGGGCTTTGTTGTGCCGGGCTCCTGTCAGACAGGAAGGTTTGAACCCCAGCGTCAGGCAGATGGACTGGCTGCGGCGGGGAGAGACACGCAGATCGGTGCCACTTCGGTGGTGGGGGGGTTGTCTGCCTTTATTGACCACACTGCTCGTATAACCTCCGTGCACCGAGTCCTTCCCTGGTCAGGGCTCAGACCTGCCTAAGAGCAGAGCTCCCTCTACTGACTGGTGCCTGGGAGATGGGCTTCCCTGTCAGCCTGGGAGTCTGGACTCCTGCCCCATTTCAGTTCGAACCTCACAAAAAGCGGTAGGGACAAATAGCCAGCTTTGATAAAGGTCAAAACCCAGATAGTTTGCCTTTTATTTCTACTGCTATTTGGTGGCTCCCAAATGCAGCTGCTGCTTGGGGGGGGTTCATCTGTATAGGAGACTGGTTTCTTTGTTTTGCAGCAGTCACCAGTGTTTATCTTGCTTGATAACTGGAGACCTAATGGAAAATTGGCTCCTGTTGGATTGGCTGAAGATTTCTTAAATTGAAAGGTGTTTCGTTTCCCAGCATTGCTTCCCCATTAGCCCAATAGTATTAGTTGCATTACACCTTTACACTTTTTATCATGAGATTTTAGCCTGTGTGTGTTGGGGAGGGGGTGGAGAGAGATCCTAGCACAATTCTGATTTCCAAAGAAATCTATGTGCTGTCAAGGAACACGTCAATCAGTTTTATTCTTCATGGACAGTAGAGTAGCACTCTCAACTTGCAGTGGGCCTAATATTTAGATTGTTTCTAAAAACAAGTTCTTACAAAATCTAAGGTCAGTAGAAATGATTCCACAACATCATAAAGAAATATGCATAACTTGTTTTTAAACACATATTCCCCCAGGTTGTGTGCAATGCAGATATTGTAGTATTAAGAGCCTGAAGGTGAAAGTGTATAAACAACAGTGAAACTGACACTGTTGATGTTAGCTGTGGAAGATAAGAAGAAAAGGAAAAAAAGAAACAAACAGCAACATTAGTGAAAAGCAAACTGGATTTATACAATCCTTTCTGTTTTAACAATCTAAGGTGTTAATGTGATTTTTTTTTTTTTTTTTAAACTGGAATTTTGTCTTTCTCAAAACAGTTCACCATTGCAGCTTACAATGGGTTTGGTAGATGTGTAAAGTGTCACTGAATGAAAATAACACTAGAGGTTTTGGTGGCCTTATTTTAAAATCACAAAAATAATCACAAAAGGGACAGATTAGGGATCCTTTTATTGTTTCATTGGGCTAACTAGCCAGTCACTAATGGGGAAAGTAAACATCTTTTTGTTTTTAAAAAGACTCTTTTCCTTTGCAGAAAACTGATTGGGAAGTAGCCATAAAAAGCATTAACAAAAAGAATTTGTCAAAGTCACAAATCCTGCTTGGGAAAGAAATAAAAATCTTAAAGGTATGTTAATTTGCAGTGATTTTTAAAGCCTTCTCACTGTGCTTTATTTGAAAGGAAATGGGAATTTCAGTCCAGTTCTTATGAGATGGGTGGCCATATAAGAATCATCGTAGTCCTAGTTTTCATAGCCTTGTTAGTTGCAGCAGAGGTCAAGAAATGAATGGGCCAAGAAAAGAGACTGAATTTTCCTTTTCTCTCCAGAAAAGGTCCCAGAACAGGTGTAAGGTAGTGGGCTGGGGGGACCAGGGGGATGAGCTTCTGTTCTGTACCAGCTGTATGGGTAGAAGATTTTATACAGCAGTATAAAATCTGTATCTGGCACGTTTCACTAGCACTACATTTACTGCAAATAATGGGGGAACGGAGGAGAGAACGTTATCAGTTTTTTTTCTTTGTAAAGATTACTTGAATTCTTTGCCTTCTTTGCTCAAAGGCAGAGCGGTTACTTGAAAATTAGTTTGTGCTGGGATTTGATTCTCAGGACAACCTGCACACTCCTAAGTAAAATGTTAACTCAAAATTCACAGCACATGTTCTGTGGAGGAAACTTAACAGAAACCTAATTTATTTTGACAGTACTGAATTATGTGAAAACCCTCCATAAGGCTGTGCTCTTTAGAAAGTGCCCGTAGTGATCCTGTACCGCAACTCTGCAAGCTTCCCTACCTGTCGTCTCTCCCGCTATTTGATAGTCATTATCTGCATTGCTTTATTCTGATATTTTCAAACATGTCATGACACATTACTATCTGGAATCTCCAGTGTTAGGTACATTATTGTGGCTCTATTTAGTTCCTGTGGCATCCTCTTTAAAACAAGCTACAATCACTTGAGTGTCCTGGAAGTTTTGTTTAATATCATTTAACTTGCCTTCCAATCACTTTCAAAAGGGTGAATCGTTGAGGTGAGAATAATAGTCTAATCAGTTTATTTTCCCCTAAGCAAGATGTTGTGTGAGAGTACAGAGTAAATTCAGTCAGGTTTTGGTATTTTATGATGCAATACTTAAAACAAAACATGGAAAATAAATTCTGGAAACAAACACTCAAAGAAATTTACCTATCCCATGAGTTTTTCCTAGCAGAGTAAGTCATTCTTTAGCTGTTCATTATGCCAGACTATATTTTCATGATGTAATTATTTTGTTTTATAGGAACTTCAGCATGAGAATATTGTGGCACTCTATGATGTCCAGGTAAACAATCTCCTTTTCTGCTGTAAAATCTGTATTCAAATATAATTGTATGGGTATGTTGAAACTGATTTCAACTGTGCTTTTTTTGAATGCTCAGACCATTCTGGTGAAAGATTTAATCACTTTCTAAAAGGGTGTTTGCTATTAAATACAAAGCTTGTACAAAGCAAAAACAAAATACAAAGCTTGTAAGGAGCACAGTGTGCTGCAGGGTTCCAAGAGCAAGTGGAAGCTTGTGAATCTCTGCAGAGGCTGTTTGTGTAGTCTGGCCCAGAGGGAAAGCATCAGCTGGTGCTTATAGGTAAGTGGGTGAAGTTACATTAGTGGTAGCAGCTATTCTCCTTTCCTAATTAGAAAATGGGGCCAAGGAAAATGCTGCTAACTGGGAAGTGGCAGCTGGCAGAGAATGGGTGTGTTCACCAGTTAGGACATTTTTCTAACAGTTGTTGATGTGAAAGAATGATTTTCAGTTATTGAGGTGGACAGCATGAAGGAGTTAACATAATTTATAATCCTAACTGTAGAAGAGGGTCAGTGGTTTTGAGATCCCTGTAGTGTGGAAATATGCTGTTTAATCCTGTGTCAGTGGGGCAAAACTGAAAGCAATTGAAGACATAGCGATGTGACATTTACATGTTGCAGATGTAGCTAGTGGCATAGATATACAATGATGTGTATAACACAGGTGTGTTACTGGGCCTCTTGGAAGGGGAAAACAATGTGTCAAATCACTTTGACCCTATTTTCCCCCTTTCTTGTATGTCTAGGAATCTGCCTGTAAATGGTTTAGTCCAGCATATTATGGGGAGTGCATGTCCATATGAATTCTCCTTAGAGAGAGATGCTGTATTCTGAGACTTGCAAGTGTTGGGTACGGCTATGTATGAAAATATGTAGGTTATGCAGTTATTCTTTCTATTTGAATAGGAACTATACATTTATCTCCTGGGCTTGATTCTAATCTTAAATACAGAGGCATATTTGTGAATAAAATTACTGTAAAGAATCCTTAGGGCAGTGCACAGTTAAAATATAATTAAACCAGCATAAAATCGACCTTTCCTCATATCTCATGGTTGTGAATAACCATGCCAAAAATAAACTCTAAATTTTTGTGCAAGATGGTGGCGTGCATACATCCCTTCTCTCCCCATCCCCTTCCAAACTACACACTGGGATGTGTGGACTTACAGTACTTTTTCCACTGCGTTTCTTATATTCAGCATTGAGGACTTCTCTTACAGTAGTTGATAACATCAAGACCACCTTAGACAGAGTAGTGATCACTTTTCTGCATTCTCTGCCCTGCTTATTGAGGCGTTTAGGGCCTGATGCTAAGCGTTGTTGAGTGGGAAAAGCAGGCTCTCAGCATCTGGACTTGAATGACCTCCTCAACCATTGCAAGAGAAATTCTGAGTGTTGGATATTGGGAAGTAAGGGGGGAGCTGACTTTAAAACCCGTTGCATAAAACCTATAACTTAGAACTTTTAAGTCTACACATGTTCTGTTAATATATTAGTTTAAGCTCACCAGCCTTTACTTTATAAAATAAAATGAAAAAAAGCTTCACAGTTCACCTTTAAGGCATGTTGTCTTGGTTTTCCATGTTTTGATGATCTAATTGTTCTCTTTCCATTATAAAATCCAGGGGGGTCTAATTCTCCTTCTGATTCATGCACAAAATTCCCACTAGTGTGCCGTGAAGGGAGAATAGTACCCTACATTTGTTTATGGAAGCCATTTCTTTACGTAAAGTTTATTTGGAAACATGAGTCTCATACTTTCCTGGTCTGTCAGGGTTGGAAAGATGCCAATATAGTAAATGTTAGTCATGAGACTTCTCATATGATCAGGCCTATATTCTCAGTTTGAGATGGGGATGGTTCTGCTTGTCATTCAACCTTGTGCTTAATTATAAGGCACAGCTATAAGTAGGAGAAGGGAAAACTGTATGTCAGACCTTGGATATATTTCAGACACATATATAGCAAAATGTAAAACTTGGCATGCTGAGGTCACGTCTATTGATGAAATATGTGCTAAAGAATATGACAGTCACACAAATAGGACTTTCAATTTCTGTATAGTGTTATGTTTGTGAAATATTATACATAATTAATTTATGAGATTACATTAATTTATAGCCCAGAAAGAAAGACACTATGCTAGGCATAACACATCTGGCAGCCATTGTACCTACTCATTTGCTTTAGTGTTTCATGTTCTACATGTATTGCACTTTTTGTTTCCCATAACATCAAACATTTTGGGAATATAATACAATAGATTAGACTTTTGGAAATCAAGTAGTTATCAAACCACAGAAACTACAGTCTTTGGCTCTGAATGTTGGAGCCAGTGAAGTCTGTATCACAGTAGGGAGTTCTCAGTGTGACTGGGAGTCTGTTTTTTATAGATCTGTCAGTCTGTAGCTTTTGTTAACCTTAGGGCAGTTTGAAGCAGAAAATGCTCGCGTTTTAGACAGCACTGTTTGACAGACCAGTTTACTATATAATCAAAGAACTGTCATTTTGTTTTACTAGGTCTTCTGAGTGAAAAGCTGGTGGGTTATAAGTAGCTAAAAACCACGTGGGGGAAATATAAATGTATTTTAATGCAGAATAAATATTTTCAGTACCACTTAGTGGTAAGTGATCTATTTACACAATGCAGTTATAGCTGTATATGTGTTTACGTTCTACTCTGGAATATATCAAGTCTGTGAATGAATGGGATAGTAGATACTTGAAAAAAAATCACTGAACTTCTGCTTTATTTTGAAATAATTCTCATGTTTGATGCATTTCAGGTAAGATAGTTTCTATCACAGATTCCCTCTCCCCTTATCTCTGTCCAGATCCACTTTTCTTGGTATTGCATTGCCTATCGGCTGTCCCATAGTTGGTAATGTAAAGCATACCCCGCTAAACCTTTTCATTAAATCTTGATTGTGAACAATCCTGCTATTAGCACATGGGCATTTGGAAGCATCATACATTGCTCTGGCTTCAACTCTCTCTGAATTCAGAGGTTTGATATACCACTTAGCATGTGTAGCCTTCACTCCATTATAATACTAAAAGTGCCCATTCATCTGGAAATGTTCCCAAATGAATTGGTGAGCCATTAATGTGTATGCATTGCTTGGCATTAATATTGTGTTGTACTGATGCCAGCACAATAATTGCCATTGATTTCCATAAGGTGGCTACATGCAGTGTTGGCAGGTTTGAACTGTAGTTAAGCATTTCATATAAGCAGAGACATACTTGCTATTTATGCTGTATTGGGAGCCAAGATAACTGTAGCAAGCCATAGTATTAGAGAGTATGCAGGATAGTTTTTAGTAGAGCTGGTATCTAGAGCAAATCGGTAGCGTGCACAGTAGTTCCTCAAAATGGTATTGGAATGCTATAATAAATATATTTAAAACCGATAAGGCTGCAGATATCTGTCCCCATATCAGTCCATTAAGGACCAGTAGGGAAGGTTAAATGCCCAAAGCAGCGGTTTAAGCTAGTGTTTCTTATTTTTATTACTGGAGACATTTTTAAAAACGATTTTTCTTTATCTGTGAGTGAAGGATGAGTAGTTACTCAGTTGGAAGAGTGAGTTTGAGGGCCCAGGACTCTGAAAGGTTATTTTAATGGCGAACTTAAAACTTTAAAAATAAACACAGAGCTCTATAACATTCTAAATCACTAATGAAATAGATGGGTAGTCTTTAACATGTGAAGACGGGTTTTAAAATAAAATATTTAAAAATAACTTCTTGTATTTGCCTTCTAGAGCTTGAGTCCAGCATTCTTTGTCTTACTGAAGAGTGGATTACTCCCAAACCCCTAAATAGCATCTGAAATCCATCTCCTTTCCTTGCTTTAGGTGTCTGGGATGTCGTTTGCTTTTATAGGAGGAACAGAGAATCCTTGACTCGGATCTTGACAGGTTAATTAGAAAAACAAAACAAACAACTCCCTCCCAACGCTTTAACCCACCTTTTGTAAAGTGCATTGAGATCCTTGGATAAAAGATGCTACTTAAGTGAAAATATTGGTTATCTGTATACAAAAATGTGATGGGAAATAGCTATTTAGAATGAACTATATTTAGGCTGTGAATTTATGCTTTTTTTTAAAGTTGATGATCCCAACTGCGTGTGTTGAATGGAGATTATTCTTTACATGGAGCCAGACTGCTCCTGTTTTAGCAAATAATTTATCATTCAGAAAGTTATTTAAAATATCAGACATCTGAATAAAAGTAGGACATACATCTTGGAAGTAATGATATAATGGGGTGGATGAATGTCTCCACCATATGGAGATTGGAGTTTGCTGCTTGAATAGTAGATCAGAGATCACTGATTTCTGGTCTATTAGAGAAATACATTTTCTTTAAAGATACTACTTGTGTAGGGTTCTCTTTTTTGGGGGCTTAGCTTACTGCTGGGCAGAATACCCACTTCCAGTTATCCTTGAGGGCAGTGGTAGCAAGATAGAGCACAAGCCAGACAACCTGTTGGCCATCGTGCATCACCCCCTGCTTTAAATATAAATACTAACGTTTGAACATTTCAATCAGTTCCTTCTAGACCATGGTTAGGGAAGGAAGTCCCTGTTGGCGACTGCCTTTCTGTATCACTCTGTTTTACCATCATTAGTTGTGTAGCCTTGTTCGATTTACCCAAACATTCCATCAGTCTGGCGTGGCGACCTACATTTTTTGAGGTGGTTGCTTCAATCACTCTGGCATGTTCTTGTTCTTTGCTTGTTCTGGGGCTTTGGTGCTTGCTCCAGCACCTACTTCAATGTGTCTGCCCGTTTTTTTTTTTTTTTTTTTTGGATTTGGCACTTCAGCACAGCATTCTTCTTGGAGCACCAACGTCTTGCAGTGCCATATTTTTCTCAGGTTCTTGTCTAAGGCCTCTAAACTCAGCAAATTTTGTTCCTGCTCTGTTGTTCCAGCACAGCCATTCCATACATCCCCTTAAACATTGAAA